TACACACCTATGCTCATGTCTTCACACATGCCCGCATGCAGAGGAGTGCACACACACACACATACATGAGACAGGAGGCACAGGCTTGTGCACACACACAGTCATGCACACAAGCTCACATGCTCACACACACAGTCATGCACACAAGCTCACATGCTCACACACACAGTCATGCACACAGCTCACATACCTATTCCCGTGTCTTCATACGTGCCCACATGCAGATGAGTGCACACACCCACAAGACAGAAGGCATGGGCTTGTGCACACACACAGTGTCATGCACACAAATTCACATGCTATCACACACACCTATGCTCATGTCTGCACACATGACCATGTGTAGATGAGTGCGTGCACACACACACGAGATCGGAGGCAGGGGCTTGCACACACACCTAGCTTAAGCCTAGATCCCTCTGCTCCTGGCTGCTCATCACAGGGTCTGAAATCACAGTACTCTGCCTGTGACAGCAAAATCTAATGTCATGAACCTAAAACAGACAACAGACGATCCAGGGAGGCTGGACAGGGCTAGGAACAAAATGCGTGCACCCCGACAGCAACTCTGTCCTAGGAACAAAATGCGTGCACCCCGACAGCAACCCTGTCCTAGGAACAAAATGCCTGCACCCCAACAGCAACCCTGTCCTAGGAACAAAATGCCTGCACCCTGACAGCAACCCTGTCCCAATAGCAACAGCCTCAGCCTTGACAGCACAGGACACACTCCTACCCCCGCCCCAAGTGGAACTGGTATCTCTCCTGCACTGAGGTACTTTCCCAGTCCTCATGGCTTCAGGGTGGCTGGTGAACAACCATGAACTTGGGTGTCTTGGAATTCTCTTTCATACGTGATGATCATCATTGTTCTCTGCTCTCTTTTCTCTCCTATATAGAGTTTTCTAACCCCAAACCATGTTTATATCTTCCAGTTTTATAAAAACTGTGCCTTTTTAAGATCCTAATTTTTTTTTTCTTAAAATACCCCAAACCTTAAGGTCTTTCAAGGGAAACAGGTAAAATTATAAAGTTAAAATCTGGCAAGTTCCCAGGGACTGGACATCAGCCACAGGCATGCTAAACATTAATAGGGCGTCCTGCCTGCCCTGGGGGCAGCACCTCTGATGCAGAAAATGATGCCATCGGAGACAACACCAAAGCATCCTGCTAAATAAAACCAAAGCTGTTTGCAAAAGAAGAAATCACAGTCAATGAGGAGGCACAAAGGTGCTCCTGTGCTGCAGCCACACTTCCTGGGGGCCCGGCTCATCGCCACAGAGGCACACGTGGGCAAGACACGGCTGCAAGGTGCCGTCAGCCAGAGCCGTGTGTGTCTGTAACATCAGTCTTTAGATACTGAGATTCTCCACATCCTCCACAGCACAACGGAAACAAAGGGAAAGAGGACCATCGGACGTGGAGAAGTGACCTCCGCAGGATGTGCGTGGCGGGCGACATTTGTGGCTTCCAGCGTCTGCTGTGGAGACCAGAGACCCCCACACACTGACAGGTGCAGGCGGAGGAAGTGGTGACGGAGTATTTATCGGCCTCTGAATTATCGGAGGGGCCTCAAAACTAAATTTAAAGTTGTGCCCCCGCCCTGGAAGCAACACGAGTTATTACATGACATCCGTCTGCTCAGCTCAGGGATAAATTATGTGCTGAGGGGATAAACTGTATCTTAAAAAAGCTTGTGTGGGCTTCTGTTGCCGTGGTAACCACCGTGCCAACCACCGTGCCGCCATCACTCCTTTGCCTGCCTATCAAAATCACAACTGGAGCAGAAAAATCGCTCTTATTTGTCCCATTAGGACTGCTGGTTGTTGCATATAATTACTTAAATGACAAAAGACTTGCCCAATGGGTAAGTCTCTTGAAGGCAAAGAAATGGTCAGAAAATGCGTAAGAGAGACTTAACCAGGGGGCGGTGACTGTCAATCCACAGTGGCTAAGTATGGGGACAGAACACCCCATGGTCCCCATCCTGCTGGGAGGTGTAACAAAAGCCCTGATCCTGGTGTTTATCATAAACCCCCACTGACATGGAGACATCAGTATGGAACATCAGACAGTCAGCTGAGATTGCCAGCTCCACGGCAAGGGTCATGCTGCCTTAGTTTGGGGTGACAAGACTTATGATTTCCTATAGAATGACATAAAGTCAGACAGACCACGTGCCCCCAAAGTCTCCACCACTGTCACAACTTGGCTCAGGGAAGGTGGAAGGTGGAAGGAGCCCGAGGCGCAGGTGTCAGCTCACTGACCTCATGCTCCGAGTGTCCCATCCGCGGAGGGTGGTGTCGTTTGCCGTGGCCACCTGCGTGCAGTTGTGATGTGGGCTCCACCGTCCTGAAGTGAACTTCAGTTGTCCCTTCCCTTCCAGGGACGCTGAACTGGCCAGCTGGGAAGGTCATGATATTTCCCAAAGAAAGGAGAAGGGAAGGGTAATTAATTCTTTTCAGAAAATTCAACAGGATATCTTATATTTAAGGATATTATTGAAAAAAATTATTGAGAATAATTAGGAAGCTCTGTCTTTGTTTTCTTCCCTTAAAAGGCAAGAATGTTTGAACCTTATTTGGAAAAAAATATAAAATTGAGCACAGTAAAAAATAGAAAGCATATTAATAGACTTCTATTAAAAAGGACCCGCTTGCAAGTGTGTGATTAGAGACAATCAGCTCGAACTTGAAGAATACAACAGGAAATAACTCAGACATCTGGCTCTCCCCAGGGACAGGGACGAGACAAGTGGAGTCCACAAGATCGGGGCTAGAATAGCACAGGGACACCGTTTCTACTCATCAGATACTGGTTTCCACACACATCCTCTTCCTCTCCTTTATCTTGAGATCCACGAATCCTTTACTCGGAAGTTAATTAAACTTCCGCAGGACCTGGCAATGAGGACTTTGCCAGGACCCGCTGGGAACTGTCAGGTAGGGCAGAGAACAGCGCAGACCTGCTAGGAGCCCGGGAGGAGCTCCTGGCCCTGCCCACCTGGGATCATTTCAAATTTGGGGTTGAGTTTCAATCACACAGTGACTTCTAAAGGCAGAGAGGGCCCAGGCCTGCCCGGCGGCGCTCTCAGGGGCACCTGCCCCCAAACCTACCCCATGTGCATGAGTCACTTCCACTTTCCTCACTTCAGCTCCCAAACCCCTGTGCTTTCTCCCTCTGAGAGGAGACCTGGAGAGCAAGTGGCCAGCCACAGCAGGGCAGGCCAGGGAGGGGTTGGAATGACTGCAGGGAGCGCCTGCAAGAGTCCTGGGGCCATCACCATCTCACGAGCTCCGTTAAGGGCCAGGCTGAGCAGGTGAGGGAGCAGGGCAGCCCAGGCTTGACCTGATCTAGGCCTGGACGCCCCAAGAGAGGGAGCAGCTGTGTCCATGGGGTCTGCTGGGAACCCCAGAACTGGGAAGCTGGCCACTCACAGAACAGAAGCATGTGGGGTCCTCAGTGAGAAGCAAAGAGAGCACCCCTCACTGGGGTGTGAGGACGTTATGGCTCGGAGCCCAGAGGCCGCAGGAACACCCATCCCCTTCACAGTAAAAAGCCACCTGGGGCTGGAGTTACAAGACCCAGCCAGCGTCTTTCTATCCGGCAGAAACAGATTGTGGGAGCAACTGGAGAGCCCCAAACAGTCAAGGGTAGATGCTGAGAGGGACAGTCCCCATGAAGAGGTGCAAAGACGCTAAGCTCAGTCGGGAAGAAAGGGTGTCAGGCCAGGAAGCACCGCTTGTCCATCTCTAAGTTTTTAGAAACCAAAAGCCAACTGCTCAGTAGAGACCTGTAATAACAAGAGGCCAAGCAAGGAGGGAACGCCGAGACCTGCAGGGGAGGACAGAGGCGGGGGGGTCTGCACCTGCACAGAGGCCATGGGCAGGGTTGGGCCACACCCCTCACAGTTCTGGGACCACCAAGGCTCTGGGGAAATGTTTGGCAGGGCAGCACCTGCAGGCGGGGTGCAAAAGGCCAGAGGCTCCCTGGACCTCCAGGGTGACGGCTGCTGCCCACTCCCTCCCATGTTTATGTGAAGCTATGGATGGTCCCCCAAGCCCCATGCCCAGCCCCCTGCCCACCTTGCCCACCTTGCCCACCTCATTCTTCCCCACAGCCGCCGGGAGGTCAAAGGGCATCTCCTCAAGAGAGGCCTGGGGCCGGTGTATTATAAAGCCCTCTTAAAATGTCCACTCCATGGCCACAAGCACCAGGGGTGGCTAATCGGGCCTCTCCCCACAAATAGCTGAAAGGCTTTTCCTGTTCCTCGTAGAAGTGTTAACTGTGGCCCCACCATGCAGGGACACTGTGGTAGGTGTGGGGCCCAGAGAGTGACCAAGAGAACCCATCTGGAGGACACAGCGGGGAAGAGCAGCCTGACGTGAGGCTCAGAGGGGAATCCCAGGCAGGACGCAGGCAGAGGCAGTGAGGGGTACAGTGGGGCAGGGGAGTGGGGCAGTGGGCAAAGGCAGAGCCCACAACTGGGTGGAGCCAGGTGGCCCCTAAACACCAGGCCAGGATGTCTGCAGCCAGCATCTGGCAGCCATTGTCGGGTAGGACTGTGGGGACAGAACCATGGGAACGGGGCAAGGAGAGCCAGGGCCTGGCCTGAGTGTCGGGAAGGACAGCAATGGACGCAGAGGACTGCAGGGTGGTCCCCCTTGCCCCCCACCTAATGACAGCAGACACAAAGCCGTAACTCATGTGGGGATGCACAGAGAAACCTGGGGTCTCTGCCACCAGACCCCTCAGCCAGGGTGCTGCTGCCTGCACAGCTGCTCAATGCCCTCCAGCCAGGTGTCCCTACCCACAGGGCAGGGGGCCTGGGAGCTCACTATCAGATACTCCCAAATTCCCAGAGAACGATGATAGGCTGCTGGGTCAACTGCCAGGGACAATCCAGAGAGAAAATAGGAAAAGAGGGGACTCTGCGGGTAGGGTGACACATCACTCCCCGTCCTAGTGCCTCTCCAGGAGTTTGTAAGGTCCCTGCTCTTTGCCGCCCTCCCTGCATGGGGAGACCAGCCCCCCTGCCAGGGTGCAATTATTTTCCCCTGGCACATAGGACGCCGGGCTCCCTGGAGACGCTTAGCATGGTAAACATAGCCAAGCAGACTGAGGGAGGATGGTGGCTCCCAGAGAGTCCAGGCCACATGCCTAGCCAGGTCAGCACCATGAGGTCTGAGGAGGGCACTGCATGAGGCCATGGGGCAGGAGATACGGGAGCAGGAACCTCGTGCTGCAGCCCCTGACTTCTCAGCTATGGGGCATGTTCAGTAAATGTCGATTTGGGAGCAGGTCAAGTAATTCTTTCTGACGGCAGTGATGGGACACAATCACCTAAGGACGGGACTCAGCAGCAGCACCGGGGAGAACCACCAAAGGGACTCAGCACCGTATGTTACTGGAGACAGAGTGAGTTAAAATTCAGCTCTAACTTGGGTGGCACCTGTGGCACAAGGAGTGGGGTGCCAGCCCCATATACCAGAGGTGGCGGGTTCAAGGCCAGCCCTGGCCAAAAAAAAAAAAAAAAAATTCAGCTCTAACTTTCAGTGCCTTGACCTCTACATAGATAAGATGAATGAAGGAATGTTTCTGTAGCATTCCTTTTAGGAAAAAAAAAAAAAAAAATAGTCAAACAGAATATTCTTAAGAGCAACTTAGTTTTCTGAAGATGTAGTTAATGGCAATGATTATTCAACGAAGACAACTAATATAATAAAAACCATAAGACCAGCAAATAAGGGCAGGGAACTTATATTTCCTAACCAATCAACATTGTGTTCTAATTATTTTTCTATTAAACATACTGATTTCTCATCAGTCTTCAGAAAGGTAAAAACAAGGTCCCATCTCTCGAAGGTCAGAGCAGCAGAGTGACCTGGGCGAGCTGATCCTCATGAAGCTCCCTGGGAAATGTCCTCAGCCGTTCTGTGAGGAGAGTGGCCGTGACAAAACTGACCGGTTTGGGGCTGTGTGCTGGTGGCCAGGATCAGGAGGGTGCAGGGAGGCCACCCAGGCCAGGCTGAGTGAGGCTGCAGAGCAGGGATGGGAGCAACCTGCCAGCGTGAGGAGGGCTGAAAACGGGGGACACTGCAGGTAAAAAGGCATGTGGGTGCAGGGGCCACGTGGCCTGTGGAGTCCCTGCCCCTGGAGCAACTGGCCTCCACCCAGCACATCACCACACAGGCCAGCTGAGTCACTAGCCAACGAGGCTACTCGAGACTCTGAGTGCGTTTCTCTGGCTTTGACCCTGCAAGCTGCCACACACGGAGCCATGAGAGAGGAACTGGGGCCATGGTCCAGCGCCCACTGCCCAGTGAGCTGCGTCCTGCCAGAAGCACATTGGTGAGTGCACAGCAGACTCCCACTCAGGTCTCAGTGCAACCCTAGGCGACACCCAGAAAAAGCCTGGGCAGATTTGAGGGAAGGATCAGCAGGGTGTGCCGGGCTCCAGATGCCTGCTGATCCCCACGGAAAACTGAGGGACAGACCCGAGCTTTTTAGAGCTGGTAATCTTTGGTCATTTGTTAGCACCAGAGAACTCACACAAGGCAGTGACCAGACTGAGGGGGCCTCGAATGACTCTCGGCAGCTCGGAGACAGGCCCTGGACCCTTGGCGGCATGGGGGAAGAAGAGCACCCAGAGGATGAGTGACGGTCCCATGGCCACAGTGGGCAACCTGTATCCTGATTCTACCCACCCACCCTGGCCACACTCAGCCACACAAGGGTTCGCAGGGCACGGTCAGCTTTATGCTTGCAGGTATGGAGAAGTCTGGAAGGTAAATGTTAAAAAAACTCAAAGAGATGCCACCGCCAGTTTGAGGGGGTCTACTCAGGGCAGGCGGCATGGTGTAAGTTGTAAGGTTAATCAATCACAATTTTTGCTTTCCTGACATGTAGACAGAAGTCGAGCAAGCCCACAGGGCGTGGTGTGAGGCTGCAGCAATCTGTTTTCAGCATTAAAGAGAAATATTCAGTGCTTCTCCAGGGCGCGAAGAAAGGAATGATTAAAGGCATCCCACAAACCTTCCAGACGCACTGCTAATGCTGGGACACGAACATGAACACACTCTCTAATGAACAAAACGACCTGAGTGCGTCCTCTTAGCAGCTCACGTGGGGCACAGCTAACAGGAGTCTCAGGGTAAGATTTCCAGACACAAAAAGCTGTGCTCTAGTCACCAGGAGCCATACAGCCAGCAAGGCAGCTGGATGTATGGAGAGGAACAGCCAGAGACACAGCACTGCAGCACCGCAGACCCTCAGCCCACATGGGTGTATCACAGCAGGCACTGCCTCCCACCTCCCCCGGACAAGAACGCCAGCTAAAGGAGCTGCCAGCTGCAGGGTTTGGGGTGCAGGAGACACGAAGCATCCTGTGGAGCCCATCCCAGG